CTTTCATATTAAGTTGGAATGTCATCGTCCAAATTAACAATTAGATCCCTATCATCATTGTTGGTATCTAAACTTGTATTGTAATGCCGCTAGGTCCACGTTATGGAACGCAAGACTATAGCCTATCGCAATACCGACAAACTTGGGTATCACGTACATATCTTGAATAGTAACAATATAAGAATATACATATTCATCTTTTTGTTAAAATGAGAAGGAAATTTTAAATTAGGATGTTTTATATATTTAAAAGAGAATATCATTAGACTAAAAGTTAGTTAATAAAAATACATCGTTGTAAATAGGTATGCACCTTGGGTTGGGCCAATTTGAACCCGACTTTAACCCGAATAAGTGGGTTTTTTTAGTTATAACCCGTCCGAACCCAACTCAATTTCAACCCGTTCATTGATTGGGTTGATGATTTGCACGTCCATCCCCAACCTAACCCAACCCCACTAATTAAATCCAATCTAACCAGATTGTAACCCATATTAATTAATACTCATACTACACCCAAGTGAGCCAAGTCCAAAAACCAATGCCCTTTCTAATATATTTTTTTAATAAATTACCCTTTATAATTACTTAAGCTTTTAGTGAATAAGAGGCTTTGATTAGTCAACATATTTATAGTAGATTGATTTATGAAATTAAAGTTAGCTAGCTTTAAGGCTACTTGGCTTAATTTTTTTTAGGAATTCTTGGAAACTAAGTTGTTACAAGATTAAATTTGAAAAAGTCGAGCAACCCGAACCCAACTCAAGTAAACACTAACCCAATTAAACCCGAGCCCAAATGAACTCGAATGAAACCCAACCTGAACCCTAACCCGAATTGTAAAGGGTTAGGATTGAGTTGACCTTCCAACCCACCCAAGTTGCACCCCTAGTTGTAAATATTATTTAGGGGTGTGATATTCACACACCCCAAATTACTTCTCACACACCCTTTGTTCATTTCTGTCCGTTGATCTTCTTCAATCAATCCGATCTAACGGCCGAAAATTAAAAGGGTGTGTGAGAAGTAAAATGGGGTATGTGGATATCACACCCCATTATTTATTATGTAGTTGTTCACTTCTGGGTCAATATGTAATTAGACAGACTTTTTTGATGTAATGAAAAGGAAAAGACACCTTAATTTCTCCTTCACTTTCATCTTATCTATCTCATGTTCTCTCTTACTCTGTATTTTTTTTAAAATATTATTATTAAGGGTAAAGGGGAGAGTTCATAACTCTTACATCATATCCACTAGGATATTGGACCACATGCAAAAGATGAAAAATGGGTTATATTTTGCCACTTAGTAGTACAGTCTAGTAGTATTCATCTTTACATGTAAGTGAGAGGCCTTAGGTTAGATTCTCGCCAAAATCGAAGTTGATATTATGGCTAGCCCAGTGTGAGACGTAGCCCATTCCCTTATCCCCTTAGTGTAGATTATATCGTTTGTTTGAAAAAAAAGGTTATATTCTAAATTTCTAAGGAAGGTCACCAATGAAACTAATGGCTCGTTTGGGAAATGCTATCAAATAATAAAAAAGGAGTTATAATGAAAATGGCTTGTGCCAACAAATATTTAACCCAAAACCATCGTAAAATGTTATTTAACCAAAATGGCTCAAAGTTTAATAAAAAAACCATCCAAAACTATTGTCCATTGGTCAAACATACAAGCCTAACCTGCTACAAATCTACACTTCCGTAAATACCCCTAAATGATTCGATATTGACCTGACTTTTCACCAACCTCAACCCAGCACGAAACCACCATAATAACTCCCTGTCTTCCTATCAAATCGAATTCCCCCATTTCAAAATCAACCAAATTAAAGTTGAAAAATGAAGCATTCATCGGAACAAAGTCGCCGAAACAAGTTTTAAAAAGTTTAATGACAAAAACGGACGAAAAAGTGTCTGAAAAAAAAAAAGAACCAAAATATAAAACTGTTTTTGGAGAACCCAAAACATAACACTATTTCTGGAAAAAAAAATAAAAATCATATATAGTGTTTGTTTTGTCTGTGCACAAACAAACACTGTATTTGGAAATAAAATAACCAAAATTGTCACATCCCGGCCCGGGGTGGACCACTTCCCGGGCCCGCTCCACCACCGTAGCACGATATTGTCCGCTTTGGGCTTACCATTCCCTCACGGTTTTGTTTTTGGGAACTCACGAGCAACTTCCCAGTGGGTCACCCATCATGGGATTGCTCTAGCCTCCTTCTCGCTTAACTTCGGAGTTCCTACGGAACCCGAAGCCAGTGAGCTCCCAAAAGGCCTTGCGCTAAGTAGGGATGAGAATATACATTTAAGGATCACTCCTCTGGGCGATGTGGGATGTCACAAAAATCTAGAAACAGTGACTTAAATTCCAGAAATACTGACTTAAATTTCAAAAACAGTGACTTAAATTTCAGAAACAATCTATGTTTTAACCTTTGATTGTTTCTTTTCTTTCTTGCATCAGTTGATTATATTTAAGAAACATGATGCTTATTTTGCTTTGAATCCAAATATAGTGAATTTCACTATTTCTTTTCTTGCTTACATTTAAAAAACAGTGCGTTTATTTCATTTGGATCTAGAAATAGTGATTTAGATTCCAAAAATAGTAACTTAGATTTCAAAAACAGTGACTTAGATTCCAGAAACATTGTTACTTAAAATCCAGAAACAATTTATTTTTACAGTCTAGAAACAGTGACCCATCGTTATTATTGAATAACATGCAGATCTCAAATTTATTTTCTGGAGAAACAGGCGATGGACTCCATTGACGAAGCAAAATTGAAAAATAGTACCTCGAATACACTATGAATAATAACGACGATCACATTTTAACGAAATAATACAAAATATAAATTAAATAGCGTGAGGATCTATATTTTTGTTTTAAAGAAAAAGAAGAAGGTCTGCAAAACAACGATGAACCCCATTAACGACAAAAATTTGGAACTCAATTAAAAAAGTTATGGGGTAAAATCGACAAATCATAATTTATTATAGTTGGGCAATTTTTGATTGGACTACTTTAATATGGGTCTTGTACTAATCATTAAACAAAACTTATAACATGATTTTTTTATTAAAACTAAAACTTTTCAAATCATTTTCATTATTTTTCTTTAATAAAACCTTAATAAAAAGAGCTTTTATAGGAAATATTTTTGGATTCCAAAACATTTGAAGTGTTTTTCCAAGATTAAATTACTTTTTACTAAAGATTGACTTTAAAAACTTTTTTTTAAAGCACTTCTCAAACAAGCCATAAGTCACTCAATGAACCAGCTTTTGATTTTTGTATTTTTAAACAAAAAGATTAGCAGTTAAAACACATGGAATAACAAATACAATGAAGCACCTAAGAAAGTCTCCAACCATAATAATATCGGACTCGCACTTGTCGCAGCCAAACTTAAAATCTCAAACTTACAAGTGAAGAGAAATATCACTAAACATTATCTATTTATATGTGGTCTAATACTCTAGTGAATAAAATATTGAATTTCTACTCAACACCTAATTTAAAAATAAAATAAAATTTAAAAATAGTATGATTGGACAGAAGGAGTGGGACCCAATCTCATGGAGTCCACTGATTTGATGTGGTCTTCGTAGACGAGTGAAGGCAACCCCCGACGCGCCTTCGCCTTGGTTTCGGAATCTTCCTGCCGAAAACTGGTCTCCAATTTAAATTTCAAACTCGGCGTCCCACGTGTTAAGTCAACGTCTCGCACCTACGCGCCAGCCAACCCCCACTAAATTTCTCGTTATGTTCATATTTCAACTTTATCAATTTAATCACATGCCTATTTCTCTTTTGAATTTACCCACTTGGACTCTTGACACTTTTATGGTAGCTTAGAAGAAATTTCTTAATCCATATAAAATAAAAAGAAAAGTACTAAAGAATTATTTAATTATTTTTTAGTATTTTTGCTTAAGGTACTCTTATTTAACTAAAAGAGAAAATTATTTTTTCCAACAAAGAAAAGGAGAATATACTTTTAATTCTTCATGGTTGTTCTCCTTAAAATTCTTCATGTTTGTTTTTGATTTTCAAATCCAAGCTCAATTAATATATATAGAAGGTCATTAGAATTTATTTTTACTCCTTGTGTTTGTAATAGGGCTGCACATCTAGTAGCTTCTTTTGTCTCGCGAGAGGGTGACTTCCATACGTGGAATTGTTTTGAGTCAGAGTAGTTGTTTAATGTTTTGATTTATGATGTAAATGTTTCTAGTTGAATTTAATGATAATAGTTCTTTCAAAAAAAAAAAAATTATATATGTAGAAGGTTTAACCTTTTTATTTGTCTGACACAATCAAGATTTTAACCTATTGAAAGTTTCTATAGTGTTTTTATTATCTCATCTCGTGATAATTTTTTTTTTCTAATGGAGAGAGATAGGAAAAAATAGTGTTGAAAAACAAAGTCTTAATAACTAAACTAAAATTAATAAAAGAGTTGTAGTTTGAGGCATAGTTGGTTAAGCGAATAGAACTCATGCACTCAAGGTCTCAAATTCATTTTCCTAATCCTCAGTAACGCTTGTATAGCTGCTATTTCGCTCAAAGGTAATCGATGCACGTTTTTGTTTTTTGTCATTTATTTTCAATAACAACTTATAGAAAAATTGAGAATAAGAATAAAACAAATACTTCTAAATAACTATTTAAAAATTTAAGGTAATTCATATTCTTTCCAACTTGGAAAAATCATAAAAATTATAATAGTGGAGCAGTTGTGTTTAATGATATTTACTCTTAATTATTGTCTTAATACTTTCCTAATGGACTAAAAACCCAAATTATGTGGTTTATTCACTTAATCAGTGCCGTGACTCCACGCGCCACGCAACGAACCCTATTTCGTCCTTTTCCACCTTCCCACGCGTACCTCAATAAAATGCTCTCCTTCTTCCCTTCCACCTTTCATTTCTCATTCTCCCTTTCTCACTAGAACTCTTTCTCTCTCTTCCCCTTCAGATCTCTAAACCTCCATGGCCATGCCTTCACCGCCACCGACGACGTCGTATTGGTGTTACAGATGCACTCGCTTCGTCCGCGTGTTTGCTCTGGACTCCGCCCTCTTGTGCCCCCACTGCGAAACCGGCTTCCTCGAGGAGATCGAGACGATGCCACAGCCGCTACCGCAGCCGAACCATCTCCGCCGTAGATTCCCGTCCTCCCACCGCCACGAGGAAGAACGGGGCCAAAACCCGATTCCGACCTCCCGCCGGGTACGACGGGCCTCCGGCGACCGGTCTTCTCTATTCAACCCGGTCATCGTCTTACGTGGCACCGAGGCCGATACCGAGTCCAACACATTCGAACTCTACTATAATGACGCCGCGGGGTCGGGGCTCCGACCACTTCCGCCCACCATGTCCGAGCTTTTAATGGGTTCGGGCTTCGACCGCTTACTTGAACAGCTCTCCCAGATTGAAATCAACGGTTTGGGCCGACCTGAAAACCCGCCTGCGTCTAAATCCGCCGTGGAATCTATGCCCGTTATTCAAATCGCCGATACCCACGTCGGGTCGGACTCGCACTGCGCCGTTTGCAAAGAAGCATTCGAACTCGGGTCGGAGGCCCGAGAAATGCCGTGCAAGCACATATACCACCCGGATTGTATCCTCCCCTGGCTCTCAATGCGTAACTCGTGCCCGGTTTGTCGACACGAGCTGCCCGCTGACCAAAACAACCGTAATTCGGATCCGGGTCTCGAGGAAGAGACGATGGGTTTGACTATCTGGAGATTACCCGGCGGAGGATTTGCCGTGGGGAGATTCTCCGGCGGCAGAAGACCCGGCGAGAGGGAATTACCGGTTGTGTATACGGAAATGGACGGCGGTTTCAATGGAAACGGGGCTCCAAGAAGGGTATTATGGGCATCGAGGAGTAGAGGGAGCGAAAGTCGCGGGATTCGGAGTGCTTTTCGTAATATAGCTTCGTTCTGGGGGCGTTTACGTTCCGATTCATCATCTTCGAGGTCCGGGTCGGAATCTGAATCCGGGCCGGGTTTGACTAGAAGTCAGTCAAGTTCGGTATTTGGGCGGTTCGTACACCGTCGTCGGAGGGCGTGGGTGTTGGATGATTAGAAAGACCACAGTTTTGGCTTCATTTTTTTTTTTTTTTTTGGTTTATTAATTTATTGAAATATACATCAGTGTAAATACTTTTATTATTATAGCTGAGTTTCGAAGAACTTTCAGGTTTGCCGGTTTGGGGTTCCGTGTTCATAAAAAAAGTAGTACAAAATTGGCTCAATTTGTAGCAAAGCATCTTTGGTTCTGCGTGTTATGAAGATTATAGAATTTGAAATTTAATTCTTAATTAACTGTGTAATTTTGCATTCATTTACAAGTTCGATCGATTACAGTTTGTGTTCTACGCGATTTGTCGCGGAATTTAGGGAGAATGTTTAGAGCTTCGGCTTGTGTGTTCACACCACAACCTTTGTTGGCCCTTGTTGGTCATTCCTGTTGTTCGCCTTCGTTGGTGATGTTGCCCATGGGATCTTTCTCTTGTGGACTTCTATGTCTTGTGGCGACAATCGTTGTTATGGTGGTCCTAGGAGGATGCTGCGACCTTTCTTTTACTCAACAATGGGGTTTGTGCTGGTGGAATCGTAGGCAGTCAAGGCAGTGACGGAGTGTGTTGATCGTGGCGTAGAGCCTTAGCGATGCGGCGGAGGCAGTAGCTACAGAGACTGGAGCTTCTCTAGGGATTCACTGTTTAGTGTTTTCTGTGTGTTGCGCTTCAAAGCAGTTGACTTGGGGCCCTTTTGTGTTTAATGGTCCTTTTTTTCTTTTGTGCTAACTTTGTATCTGGACCTTAATGTCTGTAATTGCTGCTTATTGGTAATATATTTAAGGAAAACTAATGAAAATGGGATTGAAAACTTTGAGTTTTAACGATAAGATAAAATAAAGGGTAAAATGAATAGTACCTATGATTGACTTTTTAGTGTAAAAATATATTTTTATCGTTAAAGTGAATAGTACATTGAGCTTTTAATTAAAGTTCCCATATATTTACCCTTTGAAAAAAAAATAAAATAAAAGACTTGGTTTTAAACACACTAGTTTTCATGCATGCGCTCATGCGCATTTCAAAGCAGCTTACTTAGGGCCCTTTTGTGTTTAATGGTCCTTTTTTTCTTTTGTGCTAACTTTGTATTTGGACCTTAATGTTTGTAATTGCTATTTATTGGTAATATATTTACCCTTTGACCATAGAAAAAGGACTTGGTTTTAAACACACTAGCCTTCATGCCATTTTTTAAATCACGACGTGCTACGCGCAACTTACACATTTTAAATGTATTTATATGCGTAAATGACAAAAAGAAAGTCAAATATTTGAAGTAAATGAATAATAGATCATGCTAGAAAAAACCTCTCATAAACCAATTAAAGCAGCTGAATTCACATAATAAAATCGGTCTCTATAGAATTTACAATAAGAATAGAAAAAATAATATTTAATGAAAAATTGATTGAATCGCGTTATTACTAGCACATTGTGAGGCTAAGCCCACCCCTCCCTTTTAGTATAGATAATATCGTTTGTTAAAAAAAAAAATCATTTGACAACTAATTTAATCACATTATTATCCGCGTACGAAAGACCTTTTTTTATAACCGACATTACACGCCTCTTAAGATGTTTTGTTCATGTTTAAAAATAGAGAAAATAATATTGAATGAATAACTGATTGAATCACATTATTGCTAGCCTATTGTGAGGCTAAGCTCACCCTCCCCCTTAGTGTAGATAACATCGTTTGTTAAAAATAAAAAAACAATCATTTGACAACTAATTTAATCACATTATTATCAGCATGCGAAAGACTTTTTATAACCGGCATTACACGCCTCTTTAGATGTTTTGAACGTGTTTAAAAATAGAGAAATTGAATCACATTATTGCTAGCCTATTATAAGGTACTAATTAAAAAATAAAAATAAAACAGCACACAAAAATTAACTATTAAAAAAATACTGTTAAAATGATGAAAATACACCTATCTTATTTGATGCATTATTTTGGGATGCCTTTGAAGTTTTTCGTCTTGAAGGTATTTTTGTACAAATATTTTTGTTGAAGCTTGGTGACATCAAAAACACAGTTCACCTTTTGTGTTCTCTTTATATATGGATGTATGCTTTTCTTTTTTTGTCGAAAAAGTAACATTCATTAAATAAAAAATGAAGGTTCCATACCAACCCAAGGGAAGGCAGAATAACCCAAAACACTTTGGGGAAAGTTGAAAATCAAAAGCCCAGCCCAATATATAAAAAAACAAAAAATAAAACTCTAATCCCAATCTCTAGATTGGAACATCTCCTGTTATTGCCGTCACGAACGTCTCGCCAGTAGCCACCAAGGCAGCAAAACTAAAGAAAAGGACCGAGTGGTCAATTCGAACAAGACATCGTAGCACAAAAATTACTAACTCACAACCAGAAGCACACTAGGGCCAGATTTAGTCACCTAAAACACCGAACAAAGAAATAATCACCGGATCTAAGTACCCTTCATCAAAACCTGCAAATATACACATGTATGTTTTTAATCTCACTCTTTTGGAGAAGCAGGAATGGAGATTACTATGAGATCGTTCCTCTATTGTGGCGAGTGTTCTGAAGGCTAAGTATTTCCCTACCTCAGTTTTTCTTGAAGCCCCTGTGAAAAATAAAGTTTCCTATTGTTGGAAAAGTATATGTGCTGCCAGAATTATTATTGAAAAAGGGTCTAGATGGCAAGTAGCTCGAGGTGAAAAAGGCCCCTAATGTACTAATTGTTTTCTGATTTTTAAGTTGATTTGATGAGGTTCATTCCTTTGAGCTTTAGCAAACTGAAAGATAGATTTTTTTGATATTTTGAGAAAGAAAGAATTGTTTACTGTAAGGAGTGCTTATCATGTTGTGTTTGGATGGCTTCTCCTCTTGGTCATGCTCCAAAAGGACACCGTCATCAAATGAACATCAAAGAGTGTGGTTTATATCTAGCTAACAACCTAAGTGGCACTAACTTGGATTTTTGTTGGATGATTTGGTAGGTTGTTTAGACTTCAAGAAATAATCAATTATGGAAGGGGAAGGCGGACACTCCTGATAACACCGTTTCTCGTGTTCTGAGTTGGTGGCAAGAGTCCATCCGCCTGTCCCTTCCTTCTTCTCGATCTCTTAAAAGAACTGGGATGAGGCCAGAAAGTTTGGACGCATTGGAATTGTATATCAAGACACAAGAACGGAGATTTTGTGGCTGCTTCTGTTGTTGGGGTGGAAATGCTTTTTCCCCTTTGTTTATGGAGGTTATTGCGCCTATAGAGGGTTTGGCTTTGGCGGCGAGGATGGGTTTACAAAATTTGACTCTCGAGAGCGATTTTTCTCCAGATTATTGCTGCTTTGAAGGAGTCCTCCATTAATTTGTCCACTTTGGGCCTATTGTGGAAGATACTAAATCAATGATGGCTATGATCACTGGAGTCCATTCTTCCGATGTGTGCGCCAAACTAATACCATTTCCAAGGCAATGTGCCCTCCACGTGGTTGCTTTTGTTGTTGGAGGATCCCTGGGAGCTCATCTCTGATCTATTAATTGAAGATTGTTCTAATTAAGGTTGCTGCCTCTGTTTGCAGCTCTTTTGTCTTGTAAGTTATGTTTCAATAGTCTAATGAAAGCTATCTTTTCTCTTCACAAAAAAATAGTTCAGACAGTGTTCATATCTCATGTGTTTCTCTGATGTAATGTTTAAATGCCATAACATTAAGTGTTTTTATGTTGCAGTTAATTGTAGTTTTGTAAATATACACGTTGTTTGATATGCGACCAATAAGTATTTGAATTGTTAATATTGTTGATACTACGAACTTGCACTTATTAATAAATCATTCATATTCTTTGTAAGTGCAGATAACTACAACGTATAATGATTGGTTCTACATTTCATCTAGACCTATATGTTCCTAGACTCCTAGTGCGAAGTGAAAGCGGTGATCCAAAATTTGGAATTTGTGGCTGGAAAGCACCAAATTATGGAATTGTTGGTGGTGTGCAGTCGGATCAGGATCCTCTCCTGAACTAAGGGTGATGATCCTTCTAAGCAAGCCTATCGAGCCGTTGAAATTCTAACCAACGGTTACAATTATTATAATTTTTAGAGAGGCTCCCTGTTTGTAGCCGTTGAATAAAATTTCAATGGTCCGATGAGCTTGCTTAAGAGGATCCTCACTCTTAGCTCAAGAAAGTATCCTGATCCGTGTGCAGTCTACAAATATCTTTATTTTATGTAAGAAATATGCCACTTGTAATATATATGTGCTGGCTCAAATAATTGAGCTATCTACAGTGCCATATCTTGTGAGTTGTGTCATCATTTGTAGCAAAAATAACGTTTCATTCATTTTTCTTCACATTTTTCGTGGCATAGCTGGCTGATTGGCACTAACAACGTGCCCCGCTGAGTTGTGGGAGCTCTTGCATTATTTCTTTTTCTAATCAAACTTTTGTCACCCCACAATCAGAAAAATTCTTGTTCGATTGTATATAATTGCTTGCTCATAATATCATATTTTATATGTTAATTACGTGATCAGTTATATCGAAAAAGAGTCTTAGTCGTGTTTGATGTCTCTAATTGAATTTCCACCTGAGACTCAAATCTTGAACATAAATCTGAAAAATAGGAGACTTTTGATCCAAGCTTATACATGGGTCGAAAAAGCTCCGTCCCACACCTTAGCCTGCCTCACCCATCACTCAAAGTCTGGTTCGGTACTTTCAAGCCAGGCATACCAAACGGGGAACGTTTGTATATTTACATATTGCATTTTGTTTGTGTAGTAACCGATTTACTATGGAGCTTTGGCAGACGTTGCAAGTTTGAAAGATATACAGACTGTGATAGTTGAATACCTGAGTGCTTCCCTATACTTATCTTTATACTAATTTGAGTAATTTCTTGACTATGGCCTAGAGGAATTCGTTGAAGTTTGGCAACCATGAGTTTTGTTTTCTGAGAGACTAGAGCAGATATTGGCCGGTGATTGTTACTTTTTCTTGATTTAAACAGCTAGTTTCTCACTTAAAGGTACTACATTGTAATTATATATTTACGAGCTGCATTCTACCTCCAAAGAGACTTGGGAAAGGAACTACGAACCTTGAATTCTTATGAGAAGTTTATTAGCACATTCCATTTTTTAATACTCGGGCCTTTTTAGCTGCCAAGGAAATGGATGATGGCTCCATTTTCTCCAAGTTGAAGGTAGAACATGGACTAGCCATGAAAGTTGGCATCCATTTCTTTCTTTAATGTTGTTATC